TTGAAAATATCTCCTGCCCAGAGAAATGAGCTTTCAAGGTGAATATATCACAAAATCACAAAAACTCAGAGGTAGAAGAAATCTTAGCCCAGCACATCCCCAAGCAGGAATGCCTTGCACACAGCCTTGCTGACAAGTAGTCATTTGGTCCCTGCTTAAAGATCTCCAGTGATGGGGAATTTGCTCCCACATGAATGATGGTCCTGATCATTAGGAGAGATTTTGTGTAGTGTGGTGGATGGAGGGTCAGCTTTGGAGTTAGGAAAACCCAAGGTCAAGTCCTTCCTCTGACACATATAGTCATGTGGTCCTGGGCAGGACGATGCACATCTCAGTGCCCCAGGCAGCTTTCTCAAATCTATCCAACACTTTGCTGATCTGCATCTGGTGGAAGGAGCTTTCACACAGGGAAGTTTTCCCCTCTGTGCCAGAAAGAATTAGGTAGGCTTTCCTTAAATCAAGCCTAAATTTCTTCTCTTCAACTTTCACCCATTGCTCTTAATTCTGTCCTCTGACTCCAAGCAGAACAAGTCTCTTATTCTTCCATATTTTCAGACACTTGAAGATTGTTATCTTGCCCCTCTAAAACTGTTGTTTTCAAGCCTAAGCATCTATACTTCCTTCAATGAATCCTTTTATAGAATGCTCTTCAGTCTCCTTCCCAATCTGGCCACTTAATTCTAGCAGAGTCATTCAACAATCAGCAAAAGATGATAGAAGAGATAGGAAAATTCACTCAATAAAAGCTAGCATTTATGTTGTGCTTTAAGGTTGCAAAGCACTTTACATATACTATCTTACTTGATCCTCACAACAATCCTGTGAAATATGCTTGTTTTATAGGTGGGCAAACTGAGGCACAGAGAGGTTAAGTGACTTGCTCAAGATCACACAGCTAGTAAGTATCTGAGACAGGATTCCAATTTAGGTCTTCCTGACTCCAAGCTCAACACCCTACCCACTGTGTCACCTAACTGCCTACTGGATTGTCAACGTGACCCTTTGCCTACCATCCAATGCCTTATACAATCTGACCTCTATCTTTCTTTCTATCATAATCTCCCACTTAATCCCTACATAAATCCTCTGCTTCAGCTAAACTAGTTTTTCACTATCCCTGAAACATCCTTTGTGTTTTTACCACCTCTGTGCCTCTATCCAGTCCATTCCCCCCAACTTGAAATGACCATCTCCCTTAACCCCATTTCCACCCATCAAAAATCTCATCAGTCCTTTGAAACTTGTCCATTAACGTGCCAACTCCCCCATGTAACTTCCCTGAGCACCCTAGCTAGAAATGATATTTCCCTCTTCTGAATTTCAATTTGTGAGGCCATTCAGAAAAGGAGAAACTTCTATTTCTGCAAGCCTGTAGGGGCATGCAGCTGCTTGAGATTCCCTGAACCTATTTAAGGACATGAGGGTATGTCCTCAGTTCTGGGATTATCTATTTTGGAAGTTTGAAAATGGTTTTAGTGTGCAGGGGGGAAAAAGAAAACCTAGTGGAAAGCAAATATTTCTGTTGAGTGTTGGAAGTTCATGAATCAATGTGGAACAGAAAGAATGATTCATTCATTGGACAGGAATGAGTAGATCTAGGGCAAGGAGAGAAATTTGATTGTGGAAGCTTAGAATGTTGAGAAGAAGATTCAGTGAATATGGATGGGAGAGAACTAGGGTAAGTATAGAGCTCGCAAGCCAGTCCTGTGCACTAAAACCTGATATGAGAAGGAGTAGAGAGGAATGAGGCTGTGACCTGGATCCTCAGATTCCCCCTTCACTATACAGATACCAATACAGCAGAGCAGTGATGAGAATGTACTATTCAAATTTGGTTTCACATCCCCTTTCTGAATCTGTCATTTTCTGAGTTCATTTTAGGTTGTTTAGAGAAGGAGGAGGAAGAGGGAAAGAACACTTGACAATAAGCTCCTAGAGGGAGCCATAATTCTTAATAAATATTTTGTGAATGATATTTATAAAAGGAGAAAAAATAGAACCCCAACCCCAACTAGATAAACTTTGTGTTGGGTGCTTTCTATTGAAAAGAGTTATTGAGTACAGGGAACTCAACTGTCACTCTCTCAGTTCCCTCCTAGGGCCTTTTTAGAAAACAGAAACTAATTATGGAACCAGATCAACAGTCTCTTTATTGATGCAGTCAAAGTAAAACCAGTAGGATGCAATTTAGATCTTCTCCCCCATCTTCCAAATAGCTGCAAAATTTCATACAAAATGAATATACAATTGAATTGCAAATTACTTTGAGAAACGTCAAGAAATCCTGGTGTAAAGAAGACATTCCCATTCCTACAACTTTCTAAAACCAATTATTAAAAACAAAAGTGGATGCTTCACAAAAGCATATGGGTCTTCCCTAGCCTGATGACTAGAATAGTAGCTAGAGAAAGACAAAGGAAAGAGAACAATCATTTTTTGAATGCCTACAATGTTCCAGGAACTGTGTTAAGCACTTTACAAATATTATCTCATTCTCCTCCCAACAGCCCTGGGAGGTAGGTGTTCTATTATCCCCATTTTAGGAAATCAAGGTTTAGTGACTTGCCCAGGCTTACACAGCTAGGAGGTGTTAGAGGCCAAATTTGAACTCAGGTCTTTGTGACTCCAGACTCAGAGCTCTATTCACTGCACCACTGAGCATAATGCCTGGCTCTTATTAAGTGCAGGTTAATCTTTCATTGAGAATCACAACAGTCCTGGACAGAGAGGTCAGATACAAGTAAAAGATCACCCTATTCTCAAAGAAAAATGCTCAAAAGAGCACTCGTGTGCTCACCCTAACCACTTTGCCTTGTGCCCCTCCACATGCATGCACACCCCCATTTCTACTGAGTTGTTCATTGCCCATCCTGCGGCACCATGAGCATGTGTTAAGTATTCATTAAAATCTATAGCTGGGTTTAGGGTGATATTTTCTCTCATACATCTCATTCAACAAATATTTATTGAGTACTTAATATGAGAAAAGAATTATGCTAGGGATTATGGCTCTTTCTAGGAGCTTACCATCAAGTGTCCCCTCCCTCTTCCTTCTCCAAACAAACTAAAAGGAACTCAGAAAATGACAGAGTCAGAAAAGCGATAGAAAACCAAGTTTGATTAATGTACTCTAATCGCTGCTCTGCTGTCTTGATATTCATACAGTTGTGCAAACTGCAGTGCTTCTCTAGGGCCCATCCGAACCCAGAAGCCTCCTACCCTGAGTAGTGTGCTACCTAACTGAATGTGGATGGGAGAGAACTAGCGTAAGTATAGAACTCGGAAGCCAGTTCTGTGCATTAAATTGCTAAGCAATACAGCAACTCTCTACCTAATCTGACCTCAACTCTCCCAAGTCTGAGAGAATGAGAGAAAGCTTCAGAGAGATGGAAGCATTGGATATAACTTTGAAGGACAGGTAGAATTTGAATGCTATCAGGATGGATACATAGAGAGTAAGAACCAAAGCATATAGGTAGGAAAGTATTAGATGCAACAACATGGATTTTGCAAACAACAGTTAGTCAACGATCATTAAGTACTTACCCTGTGCCAGGCACCATGTTAAGGACTGGGGATATAAAAGAAAGGCAAAAAATCTTCCCTGCCCTCAAGGAGTTAACATTTTAATGGAGACAGCATGCTAAAAAAATGAAAACAAAAACAAAAACAAAAAACAAACCAAAAAAAACCCCTACATATGCCTGATATATAGTGTAAAGGAAAGGTAATCTTGGAGGGAAGAGGGGATGAAAGGAAATCTGGAATTTCCTCTGCAGAAAGTGGGAGTTGAGCTGTCTTGAAGGAACTCAAGGAACCTAGGAGCTGAAAATGAGGAAGGGTAAGCATTTTAGGCACAGAGGACAGACAGTGCAAAGGCATAGTCAGGAAATAAAGTGTTGTGTTTGAGGAAAGCCAGTGGAGCTGGGTTGTAGTGCATGGAGGGGAATAAAATGTGATACTAGAAAGGTAGGAAGGAGCCAGGTTATAGAGTTGAATGCCAAACAGAAGATTTTGTTTTCATCCTGCAGGTAATAGGGAGCCCCCTGAGTTTATTGAGTAAGTGGGGGTGACGTGGTCAGAACTGCACTTTAGGAAAATCACATTAATAGCAAAGTAGTGATGGACTGGAGTGGGGGAGACTTGAGTCAGGCTATTGCACTGATCTGAACGTGAGGTGATAAGAACCTGTATAAGATCGGTGGATCTGTGACTGGAGAGAAGGAACACATAAGAGAAATGCTGTGAAGGTAGAAATGATCTCAAAAACCAGATTTAGAAGTGTAAGGGACCTCAAAGCCCATCTAGCCCAAGCCCCAGGGATGAGAGGCTATTAATCAGATCCTACCTCATGTCATTCACATAGCTGAAGAAACAGGCACCTCAGTAGGTTAAGTGACTCACTCAGAGTTACACAATTATTGTCAGAGGTGGGATATGAAGGTTCTGACTCCAGGGAAATATGAGATAAGGCTGTGTAGCAAGGTAAAGTAGAGGCAGGTTAAAGTGGAGCTCAAATGCCAGAATGGGGAGTTTATTTTTCATCCAATTGATAATGAGAACCATTGAAGGGTTTGGGGCAGAGGGGAGAGCCATGATCAAATTTGTATATAAGGAAAAAAATCTGATACCACATACAAGATGTACTGGGAAGAGGGCAGTTCAAGAGGAGTTTGGGGGACCAATAATCCTGGCTTAGGCTAAGAAAAAAAAGATCGCTTAAGCATTTTTCCTTTTTGACTGAGATATATAAATAACGATGGATGGGGAGAGGGGAGAGTGGACAAGGGACGGAAGAGATTGGATATAACACTACCCAATATTCCAACAGACTTCTTCTGTAATATGACACCCTGGATATTTACCTAGTCTTATTCATAGAGATTGTCCAATATTGGAGCTACCCAAATGGAAAGATATGAGCACAGCATTTATTCATTGTCTAATTCTAAGGCAAAGTTCTACCTTTCACATTGATTTTCTCTTCTTCTGTCTTTCAGATTTGCCTTGCCAAAGGATACCCCAGCAGACTGATGGCTCTTGCTTAGCCAAAGGTGACAATTTGATTGGTGAGTAGGACAACTCTTTTCATTATTAACCTCAGAAGACCTTGATGCGTGCATAACCTAAGATCCTGGTCGTTGGAGAGGTTGCTAGATATTTGGTCAAGGAAAAAAACCAAGACACTAAACTGGCATTAGGTTAGATGGCACGCAGTGGCTGGAATGGTACAGCAATGATGTAGTTAGTTTTCTTAGCTTCCCTGCATGGCACTGCACACAGGTGATAGAAGAAAGTTATTCACTTGGTCCATTCTGCTACCCTTACCCTACCCCCTTCCCTACTCACTTGATTACTACCCCTAGTCCCAAGGGTCTAATTCTTTCTAAATCAACATTTTCTCCCTAGCATCAATCCTACAGCTTGGCAGAGGAGAGAACACACCTGCTCTTCCAGTTTAGCCCCAAGGAAGACTTAGATCAGCCAAAATCTCTGCATTTAAACTCATGTAAACTCATTGAACAGTATCTCAAATTATGATAGTCAGCAAACTCAAGCTAATGAATTTGAGCAATAAGCAATTAGTGTAATACAGCAAATGCTGGAGTTGGAGTCGTAAGATATGGAACTAAGTCTTATATCTATTACTTACTTGGTATGTGAAACTAGGCAAAAAACAAGCTCCCTGAGCCTCAGTTTTCTCATATGTGAAATACAGCTGATGGTAGGAGCTACCCACCTGCAGCTAAATAGTGCAGGACTTGAAGTCAGAAAGATGGGAGTTCAAATCTGGTCTCTGAACTTACTAGTTGTTTGACCCTAGAGAAGTCACTTAATCTCTATCTGCCTCAGTATTTATAATAATAAAATGGTGATAATAATTGCACCTATCTCCGGGGATTATTGTAAAGATAAAATGAGATAATATTCATAAAGTGCTTACAAATCTTAAAGCATTGTACAAATACTAGTTACATTATTATCATTATTACTTCACATAGTTGTAGTAAAGATTAAAGAACATGTGTAAGGTACTTTGCAAACTTTAGAGCTTTATATTAATGTCAGCTGTTATTGTAAGCATACAACTTGGAGTTATATGAGCCGGGCCTGGATCCTTCAAGGTTCTCTTTTGTATTTTGCCATATGAGGAAGAAAGTAAGTCTCTCTGTCCTGTTAGTGATACACATACTGAATGACCGAATTCAATGGCCTCATTAACCTGTTTGCCATGTCCTTAGGGAAATCAAGTGGAAGTGTTGTCATGCTTTGTAATAACTAGAAGAGTAAGTCTCTATGGCATTCAACATTTGAGCTACAGCACAGACAGTTAAATCATAGGCACAGGGGTGGGGAACCTGGGGCCCTCTAGGTCCTCAAGTGCGACCCTTTGAATCCAAACTTCACAGAGCAAATCCCCTTAATAAAAGGATTTGTTCCATAAAACTTGGACTCAGTCAGAGCCCACACCCAAGGACCTAGAAGGCCACATATAAGGTTCCCCACCCCTCTTAGGACATCCCTTGGGGTAAAGCTGACACCTTAGCTCTGTGGGCATGAGGCCTTTAATTTCCAACAGGTGGTGGTCTCTAAGGCGGGAATCTTAATTCAGAAACCTTATACAGGACTTCCCTTGGTATTGAATACTTGCTGTTATCTCTACTTGCTCCCTTTGCTTTTCGTGTTTGTACCTTTGACAAGATTGCCTTTTCCTCCTTGTTGTTCAGCTGTTTTCAGTCATGCCCAGCTCTTTGTGACCCTATTTGGAGTTTTCTTGGCAAAGATACTAGAGTGGTTTGCCATTTCCTTCTCCAGCTCATTTGACAGATGAGGAAACTGAGGCAATCAGGGTTAAGTGATTTAGCCAGGATTACACAGCTAGTAAGTGTCTGAGGCAAGATTTGAAAGATAAGTCTTCCTAACTCCAGGCCCAACACACTATCCATCCTGCCATGTAGCTGTCCTGTCTTTTCCTAGCAGACAACTATTAAGTCCTTTTAATCCTTAATTTATATCACCCAGAATACAGTAAGCCAGAGTCCTTCAGTTAAGACCTGATTTCAAATCTTGACACTTGCAAGACCGCGCACATTTGCTGGATAGCTACTGGCAAGTCATTTAACTTCTCTGAATCTCAGTTGTCTTACGTGTAAAATTTCTAAGACTATAAGTCGCAGAAAAGGTGTTCACCTGCATTGGTAGAGGAAGTTCCTTTAACCAGCAATTGCCTATCCCAATGGAATCACAGGTCCAGTGCCTAAGCCTCCAATAGGCCTAATAATACCTGTTATACCTACCTTCCAGGGTTGTTGGGATTCCTGGATTCATAGAATATAAGAGCTGGCAAAGACCTTAAAGGCCATTCAGTGCAATCCAAAACTGGACAAGAATTTCTCTATATATCACAGCTACAAGTGACCATCTAGCTTTTGTTTGAACCTTACGGGAAGAAAAATGGATTACCTATTGAGGGAACCCATTCTGCTCTGGGCCAAGTGTGACTGTCGGGTCAGTTTTCCCTTATATCCAGCAGAAATCTGTCTCTGAAACTCCCTCCTCCTCCCCCCAATTGCTCCTGACTTTGCCCTCTGAGGATAAGCAGGATAGGCCTAATCCTACCTTCCACACAAGAGCCATTCAAATACTTGAAGACAACTATCATGCTCTGACACCTAGGCTTCTCTTCCCTGAAGAGCTCCATTTCCTTCAACCTGTCTTATATGTCATGGTCTCTAAATGACAAAGAGATGTCTCCAGTTTGCCCTCCCTCTGACTAGATAGAGGTATACTTCAGCTTATCATTGGGCTCCCGAACAAGTGAGATAATATATGTAAGCACTCTGTAAACTTAAAAATGTTACCTAAATGCCATTTAATATTATTATAAATGTTTATTAATCAATAAGAAGTCCATCCTACAAGTATGTCCCAGAATAATCACTCTCAAACTGTTTCCTCATTCTTCTCCTGTTCCGTGAGTTACAATAGCCCAATGTATCAAATTTGAACCAATCAGTGTGGGATTCCTCCACTGACTTCTACCTGTTTTCCAAGTTCATTTCTTCCTACTGGGGAGGCAGAATGCTTATCAGATCAGCTTCCTTTCTGTCCCACATACATCCACACCTTTCCTATGCCTTCTAAGGAAAAGCTGCCCTCTCCCCATTGTTCTGTTTCAGTGGATGAGCATTGTTTTATTGAAGAGCTAATTCAATACTCACCTCCTCCAAAAAACTAGCCCCACCCCAAGGTTCACTCTCTCATTCTGTAGGCTCTTAGCATTAATGCTAAGTCTATTTACAGCGTGACCTCACTTCTTCTGAGTTCACTTTTGGTGGATGCAACTAACCATAACTCAAAATAGAACTTAAAAGCAACCTAGGAGGCCTTGGGTCAGCCAAAATCCATGCAATTAAAACTCATGCAAGTTAACCATAAGAAAGGCCCCTCCAGTCCTCATTTAGAGCTTATTTACTCTAATTTTACATATTTTACAATTATAACAAGCTGGGTTATCTGGTTCATCAAATCATCACAGATTGAAAGGAGTGCCTTAGAAGAGCAGCGATGGGAGGTTGCTGGAGACAGGCCTGCTGGCTTTTGAGAAATATTTATAGCAGTTCTTTTTGTTGTGGCAAAGCACTGGGAACTAATTGGGTAATGGCTTAACAAATGATGGCATATGAATATGATGAGATACTATTGTGCTGTAAGAAATGATGAAAGGGATTGTTTCGGAGAAACGTGGGAAGACTTGTATGAAATGATGCAGAGTAAAGTGAGCAGAACAAAGAAACCAATGTGTACAATCACAACATTGAAAAGGCAAGCAATTCTGACAGATTTCAGAACTCTGATCAAAGCAATGGCCAACCATAAGCCCAGAGCATTCATGAGGAAACATGCCACCCACTTCCTAACAGAGAGGTGATGGACTCAGGGTGCAGACGGACTCAAGGTGACTCAGACTGAGACATTTTTTGGCTCGGCAAACAATTGAACTGTTTTTGCCTGACTATGCACATTTGTTAAAAGAGTTTTTCTTTTTCAGTGGGGAGGAGGAGTTGAGAGGGAAAGAAGGTGGATTTTCATTCATTGAAAAAAATAAAAGTTAACTTTTTTTAAAAAAACGATGATAGCTTGATGAGAAAGAAGAAAATTGGGGAAATTATTAATAAGCAGCCACAAAAGCCCAGAAAGCCTGGCAGTCTAGGATCATTTAGCGTAGATACCAAGAGCTTTATGCACCTCAATACGTAATAAGAAAAATGAGAATCCCTTTACTTTGGCACAGAAAAGGATGGATGTTCATCATAACAACTCTCAAATCATTTTTTAAAAAAGGTTAAATTATGTTAGGCATGCTCTCCTGAGGAAAGCAAGGAAGGCAGATGTGACCAGGAGGTTGGTTTGTTTTGTTTAACTATACTTCTTTGTTCCCAAGGAAGGTGTAGAGGGCAACTGGAAAGTGTTGATCACGTGAAAAAGAAAGGCATCAAAAAATATTTTTTAAAATATCTTTCCAATCATCTCATATTTGCAAAGATGTATTTTAAAGTAGTCACCAAAATGATTATTTAAAGTTTTGCCCCCTAAATCAGTAAGTATTAATTATCTGGAATGTTAACTTACGTGGACACAGTTTCCCTACATGTTCCCCACATAAATGAAGTTTTGATGCACATGATCTTTTTCTGTCTCCTTTCGTACATATATAAAATAGGAAACAATGCAAAGATTCAGGAAGGAATCAGTACTTTCTAATTTTTAATGCTTTCTCATGCCTCAGATTATCTTGTACTTACTTTTATAATCCAAAGAATATTATCACACATTCATATGCTGTTTTCTGGTTTGTAAAATACTTTATTTTCATCTATGTTTATGTTTATCCCCAATCTACGCCACCTCAGTGAGTTCCTTGAGGCCAGGACGGTGTTTCATTTTGCTTTAGTACCTAGAAAATTTCCTTGCGTATAAGAGGTTCTCAATAAAACTCTGTTGAATTGAACTGAATTGCAATGTCTTGTACTCTGTTGCTATGCAACTGAACGCTGAATGTTTCGTG